AAGGACTTGTATGCATGCATGTAAGCCTAGCCAATGGACACAAACACCAGGGGGGTGAGGAGACAAAGGGGGATAAGGGCACATATGTAATACCTTAATCAATAAAGAAAAAAAATTTCTGGGATAAGTAAGGCTAGAGCTGGAGTAGAGACTGAGTTTGGAAGAAAAAGCCTCTAGTGTCCCATTCCCAGTAGCAGGCTATGGTAGTAGTGGGTCTCACTCAGGTGGTTCATGTTGTTGCCGCCCCACCCCCATGATACTTTCTGGTCCCTGCTACATGGCTAACCGAAATATATCTATAGGCTCTTGCTTTTTTTTTTGCTTTTTTTTTTTTTTCTAATTTTCATAGTAACTACTCCAGCTAAGGAGAATTTGTCTTTTGCAAACTGATATCAGAGGAATTGACTTTGAAGTATTTTTTTTTTTTTTTGGAGGCTAGAGGATAACTTGGCTCTTTCTCCTCCTCCATAAGGCTTCCCAGGTCAGAGGGTGACTTAAATGACAGCATCTCAGGGGCCTGACCATCAGTTGGGAAGTCACCTTGACATCTTCTTCCAGAGTGCCCAGGGGTTTTCTTGAAAATAGGACATCCCTTGTCCTACCATGGTATTGAAACATTTCTGGGAGTAGTCACGGAATTAGCCCCCCAATAGTGGGCTTACAGAAAAGTACTTTAAAATTTTTCCTTTTTTTCTTCTGAGGGAAAAGCAATAGCTAATAGTACATTTCTTGACTGTGGCTTTCACATGTTAAGATTCTTTGTAAGTCATTATTCAGGAATATCTATACTAATAAAAGGATAATATGCTAATTAGACCACGTTGACTGGACATTCAACTTCCTTCTGGACAAAGCCACGTGATGGGAGCCGAGGCAGAGGTGCTTAGGGGCGATCAGGCCAGCAGCGGAGCAAGCAGTTAGAAGTGATCAGGCCAGCAGGGGAGCAAGCAGTTAGGGGGCAATCAGGCCAGCAGGGGAGGGCAGTTGGAGGTGATTAGACCGGCAGGCAAAGGCAATTAGGGGTGATCAGGCAGGTAGGCAGGTGAGTAGTTAAGAGCAAGCAGTCCTGGTTTGTGAGAAGGATGTCCGACTGCCAGTTTAGGCCCGAACCCTGTGGGATCGCTCTATTCCTTTATGATTGTTCCTAAACCAGCAGTCATACATCCCCTGAGGGGTCCCGGATTGGAGAGGGTGCAGGCTAGGCTGAAGGACACAGTCCTCCCATGCACAAATTTCATGCACTGGACCTCTAGAATACATGTAATAGCTCAGAGAACTTTCTGGGATCAATTGGACTCCAATATCCCTTGCATTCGTTCTGGGGTCAGGAAAATATTTGATAACTCTAATTTCAGGTGTATTCCATGGAGAAACAAACATTGTTTGAAGTAAACAGTGTCTTTTAGTAATCTTTATGAAATGGTCTACTCAAGGTTTCTTTTGGCAAGTGAAAGCTAGCCATCACAGAGAAGAATAACTAAGGATAAACATTGTTTAGGCACAGTATTAATTTTACTTTCTAATAGTATATAATAAATTATGAAAATTAGAACTAGATTTTTTCTCCTTATGTCATACTTGTGTAGTAATAATATACAAAACAGAAATAAGATGTACATATACCTTTTAGGAACAATAGCAAGAGGTATAATTTTTGGTGTTCTTACTTGTTCTTAGAACTTACTTGTTCTAACATTACTGAATGTTTTTGAAATTTATCATGAAGAATTGATTGGAAAGAATAGCAGTAACATTGAAAAGATGGGTAATGAGAGGTTATCTTTATCAGATATTTAAGTTAATTGTAAACATATAGTTATTCAAATATTATGGTAGTGATATAAAACTGGGGGTGGGGGAAAGCAAAATAGGATATATTAGCCTGAAAAATACCCTGGTGTGTACATATATGTATGTATGTGTGTGTATATTAATTTATTAGATGGTATAGATAGTATAACAAATGAGTAGGAAATGAAAAATTTCTTTACAAATAGGATAAACTTGGTTTATACAGGTGCACACTTAGGACCTTCAAATACAATAGCAAATCGAGCTTTATTTCCTTTCCATGGAAACGTTCAGCTGGTCTAGGCTTGTAAGGCAGCTGTATTCTACAAGGTCATTCAGAGGTCTAACTCCCTTCCACGTGGTTACTTCATCATTCCCTGGGACACAGCCCTTCTTCTCTAAGGTGGAAGCTAGGCTTTTACTTTTCATCGTGAACTGGCAATCTATATAAAACCCTAAGCGACTTTTCAGTTGATCGCTATGACATGCACTGACCACCAGGGAGCAGACGCTCAATGCAGGAGCTGCCCCCTGGTGGTCAGTGTGCTCCCAGAGCAGAAGTGCTTCTCAGCTGACTGACAGGCGCCAGAGGCTGGGCTCATGGCTGGCCAGCGCAGCTGGGGCGGTGGCGCCGGGGTGAATGGGAACAGCGTCTGGCCTGGGCTTGGGCTCTCCCCAGCCACCTGCCACTTTGCTCTCTACTACATCCCTCAGGGGATGTTGGACTGCTGTTTTTGACCTGATCCCAGCAGATGTGTGTGGGGGGGAGGGGTGTGTGGGGGGGGGGGGGGGGCGTCCCAGATTGCAAGAGGGTGCAGGCCAAGCTGAGTGACCCCTCCTGTGCACAAAATCCCTGCACCAGGCTGCTAGTATTTATATAATCAGAAAAAGAAGACAAAATTTTAAAGCATTAGAAAAAGTTTGTTTTATGATCATTTTCTTTAGTAATCAGCCTGGTTTTTTAATGGGTGAATAGGAAAAAGAAGTGATAAAATTTGTATTAAGGATGAAGTAGAAAATTTTTTTACATTTTTTTCTTTTTAATTTTATTTTTTTTCATCACCATTTATCCCCCTAATACTACTACTTCCACCTCCATCCAACCCCTACTTTAAAAAAAAAAAAAAATGTTTTGCCGAAACCGGTTTGGCTCAGTGGATAGAGTGTCGGCCTGCGGACTGAAAGGTCCCAGGTTCGATTCCGGTCAAGGGCAGTACGTTGGTTGCGGACACATTCCCAGTAGGGGGTGTGCAAGAGGCAGCTGATTGATGATTCTCTCTCATCGATGTTTCTAATTCTCTATCCTTCTCTCTTCCTCTCTGTAAAAAAATCAATAAAATATATATATTTAAAAATATGTTTTTACTAATTTTGAGAGAGAGAGGAAGGGAGAGAGAGAGACATAGAGAAATATCGATGAGAGAAATATCCATGGATTGCCTTCTACTCCCACTACCATCACCATCATTGGGAATTGAGCCTGCAACCAGGGCATGAGCCCTGACCAGGAATCGAACCGGCAACCTTTCAGTGCACTGGGGACATTCAACCAACTGAGCCACATTGGCCGGGGCCACCCCCTACTGGTTTTGGTGTTGTTACTTTTCACCTGAGAATATTTTTCCATTGATTTTTAAAAAAACTTATTTATTTTATTTTATTTTATTTTATTTTATTTTATTTTATTTTATTTTATTTTATTTTATTTTATTTTATTTTATTTTTTAGAGAAGTGGAAGGGAGGGGGAGAGACAGAGAGAGAGACACACATAGATAGGTTGCCATCTGCCACAGCTAGGGCCTGCAGCCGAGGTACATGCCCCTGACCGGAATTGAACCTGAGATCCTTCAGTGTTCAGGCTAGCACTCTATCCACTGAGCCAAACTGGCTAGGGCACCCCCCTACTTTTTTTAATGGAGAAGAATATGTCCATTTGTATGGCCTTGGGATTGTTCTTTCTGCCTTGTGGAAGCAGAGAGTGAGAAGTGTTTTGTGTGTACGTAGAGAAATAAAATGGACTCGTGTTCCCTGGCTTGCTCAACACAATTTGCTCTCTTGGCTCTGCTGTAGGCTGTGTTGGTTGGCTAGAGATACATGAGGAATATTAGATTTGAAGAGAAGTATTTAAGTGGGAGCCAACTTTGGTTTTCCCTTTTCCTTCCACTGCCTGCCCTTAAAAAACAAATTTATTACGTCTTTGTTATTGTGGCAATCTAAAGTTGGGTCAAGTGAAACTTCACATGTGCTGTTGGTCAGCATAGTCTTAGTGTGCCAGCAGAAAAAAAGGATTAGACTGGAAAGTAGCAAAAAAAAAAAAAAAAAAGTATACAAAAATAGAACAGTTTCTTTCTGGCTTATATGAAATGGATATTTTAGCTACTGGTTCAAATATTTAGAACTTATAAAATCTGTCGTATTTTCTGTGACACAGTTTATGAAGAAGGAAGTTCCTGAAAGAAGCCAGTTTTCCAGCCAAAATCACATATGTGGAATTATGGGTGTCTGGAAGCATGTTGTTTTATGCTTATCACCAGTGATTGTATGTGAATAAGACAATTTGAAACTAATTAGAAGCAGTCAAGTAACAGCTACACAAAATAGAACATTTTCACATAGGACAAGTCTTACAGCAGAGAGTGAAGGGAAAATTTTGATAGAATTTCACTGGTTCCTAGGGGGCCACCAAAGTGAAATCTGCCTCTGAAAAGGAAGGAATATGCCTGCAGATGGAAACTTGAGTGTAAATGTGTGGATTTTTCTTAGAAACGAGTCTCGACAAGGAAGCAAGTTGGTGCTTTCGCTGTCTGCAATTGTTCTATTAATGAATACCAACCACTAGCTAATCAGCATTTTACAAAGGGAAGAAGCCTGCCTGGGTGGCATCTAGCAAGTCAGGTTTAAGAAAAGATGTCAGGACTTAAGACCCAGTCACATGACTCTCTCTCCTTGCCAATGCTAGAGGCTGTGGATCAAATTTCAACTTGCAGGCGGTCCTCCCTCCCAGCCATGTGGGTTTAACCGAAAGAGAAGCAGAACCACACTTCCGAAAATGTCAGGAGCTGCCCTGCGCTCACAGCGGGGCCTCCGGATTGGGAGCCGGTTTTCAAATCAAAGCATACCCGCTGGATGGAATTTCAGTGTTTTTTTGCTCTCATTTTGATGTTCGCATCCGGGCTTCGTCTGTCCTACAAGAGACACTTCTGCAAGGATGGGGGCAGGAGCTCTCGCCGTCTGTGTGAGTACTGGCCGCCCCTGTCTCCCCTGGACCCGCCGGGCTGCAGGAGCTGGAGAGGCCTCTGCCCTCCTGGTTCTGTTGAGGTGTTTGTGTGACTCTGTTCTTCTTCCTCGGAGGTGGGGGCAGAGTTGTTGCTTCAATTCCTGTCTGTTACACAGTATTTGGAGCATTCAGCATTCTCGTCCTCTTTCCCTTTCCTAAAAAGGTGAAGGAAATCGCAGGCTGAGTTTTATTCGGTTAAGTCAGCTTGATGGTAAGGTAGAGCACTCTCAAGCGTCTTAGGCTGTTTGGTTCTGAAAGGGTTCAACATGAATTCTCAGTTGTCTTTACGGGGAACGTCTTGTGTCTAGATTGAGAAAGAATTAAAATAAACATTAACTTATTCCCTCTGAGGATGTGTGCGACATCTTTGTATTCCCTTTCTTGTTTTCATTTAGTAATTCTGGGATTTCTGTTTCAGCATGGTTGCTGAAAGTGGTGGTGAGAAAACTTGGTTGAGTAAATGTGACTCTGTAGTCAACTGGGAAACTTCTAGTTGCTATAATACAGTAGCATCAACAAGTAACACTGATTAAAAAAAAAAAATCCATGGGGGGCGGGAAATGTTATATTTCTATGGCTGAAATGCATGAATCCCCAACGCATTTCTGTTGGTGTATACACACAATTTTTTGCAGTAACCACGTAGTGTTAATTATGATTTACAGAGTTCTATCATTAAATTTTTTATTTGGTTATGTGAAAAGTGCATAAAGAGTTGTATTTATATTTCAAGTTGGTGGTGTATGGGGGAGGGGCATTTTATTCCTTAGAGATACTCACTATGTGAGAAATACTCTTTATTGTCACTTTACCCGCTACCTGTGTATCGTCACAATTAGGTCAAATCCTTTTTTTTTTTTTTTTTTTTAAATTTTCAGAAAGACCTGCAAATTGTTGTAGGTTGTGATGGCATCCTAAAATATCCAGAAATATCCTGGCAAATTTTGACACCTAGGCCCTGAATGGTCACCAGATGGTGCACTAGCCCCACAGATTGAATTTTCTCAGTAAACTGCTGGGTGACTCCTTCATGCTTAGAACTTTTCAGACTTCCTTTTTGCTCTGAGGCTTTTAGTACCCAGATGGTCATCTCTATATCACTTCAAAGAGTTCCCTTCAAAATCTGTTGTTTGTGTGTATGGGTAAAGTAACTGAGCTTTAACTACGACACTGGTCTGCGTTTTTCCAGCTTTGTAAAAGAAACACTAAGGGCCAGAAAAGTGCAGAGTGAGGCAGCAGATTGGCGTCTTGTCATGAGGTCGGCAGTCGTTTCTGATTGTCTCATTGGATCCTTCCTTCTTGCCCTGCTGCATACGTTGATCTTCCCTGGACTGTAATCACACTGACCCATGTATGAAACTCCATATATCCCTTCATTTCTATCCAACGCATGTGCAAGATTTCACTTAAGGTTGACATAAAAATCATATTGTTCAAAAGATTATCCACTCTGATGTGATTTATATGAGTGTTTTACTGTAGGAGAAATTGTAACAGTATTCCTGCAATAAAGATAGATGATAAAAAAAACTTCTCAGAAAGTCTGTGGCAGAAAAATGCATGCATATGGGCTCATACATTTGTCTTAGTTTGGGACTTTATACTTGGTAAACGTATCTTATGTGTAGCAGCTTCTCTGATATCCTGCTGCTGAAGATAGTCTCAGACAAAAGAGTAGAGCACCAACTATGTGTGGAGTGTGTTGTACGTGTGTGTACACGCATGTGTGTGTGTATGTGTGTATACAATTTTGAAGTGGGACACAGACTGGTTTAAAGATACTCATTTCCTGTATCCATCGACTAACCAACTTTCTCTTCCTCGTTTGTTTCCCTCAATATACATTGGTAGTGCTGTTGGTGAAACTAGAGTGTGTCACCAACTTTACTGATATTGCTTCTCAGATGTACAACGAAAGAGGTAGGTTCTTTACCAGGAAACATCTTTTGTCTCTAGGAACTTGATAACATTCTGAGGAAATCGACAGTCATATCTCATTCTATTGCGCTTCACTTCAATGCGCTTCATTTCAATGTGCTTCACAGATGTGGCTTTTTTTTTTTTTTTTTTTTTTTTTTAATGGAAGGCAAGACTCTCCACCCTCAAAGAGACGACCACTTGCTTTATTGTGGTGGTTGTCGGGAACAGTACCCGCAGCATCCCCGAGGCGTGCCTGTATTTCATCTTTGGAAGTGACTGTTACTTCTTCGTTATCGGTCTCCAGATAACCACCATTCACTTTCTGGTCATGTCCTCTGATCCATGTGGCAGCTCTTCTAAAATTTAGAAACGTTTCATTGCTTTCCGGAACCAGAGATTTTAGGCTCAGTTAGTGCTTTCCTTGCCCCCCTTTTATCTGGTGGTGGGTTGGCTTTCGATTCCACACATTCCTGGTTAGTCCTACACCAGTTCCAGAGCATTTTAAAGCACGCACTGAATTTACCCAGCCGTGTAATCTGATTGTCCTTCGAAGTACCTTAAATTCGTGGTACTTACAGTGAGTTCTTGGAGGATTGCCTTCAGGAAACAAAGACCATTGGTGTCAGTCGTGTAAAATGGATTTTGTGTCGGGCTGTGCAGACAGAGCCACACGTCGCGCTGTGCCCCGTGGACCCTCCCAGAACACCAACGCTGAAGGCGCAGGAAATGCCAGGGGTATGTCATGGCTGAGAGGCACTGGAGCCAGAGCACTGAGGGCTACATTCTAGCTCTAGAAATTTCTAGTCTTGTCAACATAGGCAAGTTTTCTTTTCTTTGCGCCTTAGCTTTCCTGTCCAACTGGGAATAGTAAGTGTGTCTACTGATAAGGTTGTTTGAAGATTTAGATATGATAAATTTAAAGCGCTTGATACAGTCTGGCACAAAGTCAGCATTCAGTGAATGTAAGCTGTTATAAAACTTCCAGGCTTCTGCAATTCACTCTGTTTATTGGATGGATAGAAGTGTCCTCTATTTGGGATCGAGTATCAGAAATCTTGATATATAATGCATTTTAAAGGAGACCAAGAAACATGTAAATAACCTTCCTTCTCTACAAGAGGAGGAAGTTTCTCAGTTCTAGCAAGCATGCTGGACTCTCCAGCAGGTGCTTTTAAATTCTGCTCTCCCCCACCCCCACCCCAAGCCCCTTCCTGCTTGGAGCAAGGGCCTCTGCCCTCAGATTGCCTGCCAGTGACTCCTGGCTACACCACATCCTTGCTGCAACCTGGAGCACATTTCCTGGCTCCTCTGAGCCTTTGTAAAATGGGCATCACAAACGTACCTTCCCTTGCTAGCTTTTCTTTATTAGGATCTAATGAGTGAAAGCATCTGAAGCCGCGAATGACGTAGTCAGTAAACACTCCATAAAAGTCTGCCATTGCTGCCATTCTGATTTTCTTTTTTCCAAAGCTCTGGATTTTTATCTGCTTGATTATTCTTTATTAAAAAAACAAACAAACAAATAACTACTTTAGATCCAAAACTGGTGAGCAGGAATATTTCCCGGCGTCTTGTCTCATGGAATCCTAGAATGAAGCCTGGGACCAGAGGCATTCAAACAAGCAGGAGTTTATTGCAAACAAACACAGGCTCCCACTCGGGGCAGAGTCCGATGGGTTGCCCCCCCAGAGCATTCTGCTCCCCTTATACCAGCTAAAGGCCCGTTCTTGGTCTGTCTGCTGGGCCGTTCTCTGATTGGTTCCTGGCCTTTTTGCAACATTTTGTTTTGCACTTACAAGAAAAACATCCTTGTTTCAAAACACCCTGTTTTTCTGCTATCCATCCTGTCTTTCCTGCCTCTCCTCTTTGATGCAAAACACATTTTTTGTTTGTTTCAGCTAGCTCCAGCATTCTTCCTTCTTCCACCCCTTCCCCTACCTACCTAATTCAATTGCCTTTTAACTCCTTTCACTTTTTTCAGTTGGTGGTGGTTAGGTGGTGGTGGTGGTAGTGCTGGTGATGGTGTATGTGTGTGTGGTGTGTGTTACTGAACAGAAATAGAGTGGATTGCCACTGGAAGCACAGCTGGAGAACCAGGATTAGAAAGGGCAGCTAAAAGACTAAATAGCATCACCAGTGATTTAAATGGTAAGAGTTAATCTAATGCTTAATTAATGTACCCATCCTGTGGGCACTGTAGTTGGAGTTATATAATAGCTCCAACCTGTTTTCTGGCCTTGTGATAGTCTACTCAAGATTCAGTGGCCTTGCCTGGCTGGTGTGGTTCAGTGGTTGAGCTTCCACCCATGAACCAAGAGGTTCCTGGTTCTATTCCCAGCCAGGGCACATGTCCGGGTTGCAGTCTTGATCCCCAGTTGAGGGCTTGCAGGAGGCAGCCGATCAATGTGTCTCTCTCATTGATGTTTCTATCTCATTCTATAAAATCAATAAAGATATTAAAAAAAAAAAAAAAAGATTCAGCGGCCTGCAAGAGAAAGGGGTCTGTCTGATTAACTGATGGAAACCCCGAGCCCAACCGTTGCTAAAGGCAGGATGGTCGTTTTGAGTGGCAATCTCATCAAAGCTGCTCACAACCAGGGTGGAGTCAATCCACAAAAAGCAGTCAGGATTTATTCCTGGAAAAAGAGTGGCAATGAGACTGGGTAGTCCCAAATCATCAAATACTTGTACAGTCATAGTGCATACATTATCTTAGCTTTCTAAATGATTTTGATTAAAATAAATAAATAAATAAATAAATAAATAAAGTCATGAGTGAGATCGTCGATATTTATCTTTCTCCTGGCTTATTTCACTTAGCATAATGCTCTCCAGGTCCATCCATGCTGTTGCAAATGGTAGGAATTCCTTTTTATAGCAACAATAGAGGCCCAGTGCACAAAATTCGTGCACGGGGGGGGGGGGGGGGAGGAGGGTTTATGCCCCTCAGCCCAGCCTGCACCTTCTCTAATCTAGGAATCATTGAGAGATGTCCAGCTGCCCGTTTAGGCCTGATCCTGGTATGATCAGGCCTAAAC